GCCGGCAGAGTCCCGGGAGATATCAGCGGCAAGCCCGCAGGCCTGCCCGCAGCCTCCCACCCCCTAGCCGGCCGAGCCCGGGACCCAGGGACCCAGCGACCCGGGACCCAGGGGCGACCACCCCCACCGGGGACCCAGGAGAGCCCAGGGACCCAGACCCCACCAGACAGCCACCGGGATTGATCAGGCAGATGCCAAAAATCTTAAACCCCCTGAACCGGGAGCCACAAACACTCAGGCAGACCAAGGCACCACACTCCACACCAGGTGTGGCAGGGGGAGGGGAGATGAAGATCTATATCATCAAAAGAAGTCCCAGGAGAAGAGAGGAGTCAAAGGGCCCACCTTACATATACAGTCATACACAAACACAGTCACACACTCCCTCCCTCATGCTCACACATGCACATACAACCAAAGACTTACAAAAATGCACGCCAGACACCCAGTCATGCTCCCCATACACACCCTATTCACTCTGGTCCCGTTACTGCTGCACATTGGGTACAACCATTACCAGTTACCAGAGTTTGACCCTTTCTGCTGGGGTGCTGATGAGCAGGCTCCCCCGCCCAACGCTGAGCACAGCAGCCTACTACCCCAGACCCCAACCAGATGGCCAGATCTCCCTCCTAGCCTCCAGCCCCAGGAAGCCGAGCAACAACAGAGGTGTGCTAAGACCCCCTAGTCTCCCTCCGCCTGCTCCAATATAGTGTCGTGTGTTGATGAGGTGTATTCCATGGCTGTGGTGAGCGGGCAGTGCAGGCATTGTCTGGCCTATGCCAGCGGATGTCACCGCACCACCCCACTTGCACCCACAGCCTTCGGTGTCTAAGTGCAGTTTAAAATTGGAAGTGGGCACCGGCACTCGGGATGAGGCTGAGAAATCCCCCTGCCAAGTGCTGTTGGACGTGCTCACTCCCAAGGCCCTAAGTGTGTGTTTGCATGGAATGTCGTCGGTGGAAGTGTATAAGGGTCAAATAAAATTGGGGGGCAGGTTGTCACAGGAATGCGGAAATGGGGTCCATACCCGCACTCTCTGACTTGTCCACCCTCCAAGGTCCTATGTGCATGTTTGTGTGATGATGTGAGGGAGCAGGAGGAGAGAAATATGCAGGAATGGGGAGGAATGGCTGGTTGGGCTTAGCCCTCCAGGGAGCCAGCTCCCCCACTGGCCCCAATAGACACCTCTGTTGTCAAAATGCCACCCAGGGCATGGAGACCCCAGCCCATCTTGCTCGTCTTGCTCCTTTGATTGGTCTGTAGAGGATTCCGAAGACGTCTGGATATTTGTGGTGTTGATGTTGGGATTCCTGCTGTTTGGCCTGAGCGGTTACCTGGCTTACCGGAAAATTAATGAGTTTCGAGGAATATTGGCTCAATCCTGGAGCTCAGGGATGGATTACACCGCACTGTGAACATACAAACTCATATAATTGTCTAGATGAGTCGTAAGCTTGGAACTTTGGCTGAGATTCAGGCTCTGGCACAGAAGGTTGATTCGATCAAGGAGTGAGTTGGCGGGACAGCACGGTTGGGAATAGATTAATTCACGCCATTATTGGATCTAGAAGGGTTGAAGACTAACAGAACTTTAAGACAGAGAGGAAATTGTCTCTGTCTGGCCCCTAAACAAGTTCTTATCTGAATCTGGTGCCCTTGAGCCTGTGAGGCTGAAGTGATTACTCCCCCTCAAAAGAAATGTGGAATGCTTTCGTCGCCATGGCAACTCTGTCTCCCTATCCCAGCCTGGGCGAGACTGTGACCGGTGAAGGCCGTGGAACCATTTCCGGGAGTCACTGTGCCCTCTAACCCAATTACCTCCGTCCCCTGTCCAAACGGAGGTGACGGGCGCTGCTCATTGCGGCTGCAGGCACTGATGTGAGAGTCCCCAACCCTACCTCCCCACCTAGTGGACACTTATGTTGTGTAATGTCTGAAGTCTGTTGCATTTCTGTCTGAGGTGTTTTTTGCATAGCAAAGCTGCCCTCTCTGTGGAGGGTAACTCTGAAGGGCCTTTTTTTCCTCCACCTGACTCAGTCCTCATGTAAACCCCTCTGATCTCTATTAAGGTAGCGCGACTCGGGTTGCGAATGACCACAGTCACCAATTCTTGTCATGTGTCTATGCCTATATATGTATGTCTGATCCCAGAATTGTGTGTACTGAAACTCTAATTTCCCTCTGGGATTAATAAAGTGTATTTGAATTTGAATTTGAATTGAACTGAATTGAATTTTGAATGGAGGGATTTCTATCCAATCAGTGAAAACGGGACGTGCACATTGATTGGGTGAGGTTTTTCTATGATTGTACATTTCAATTGTGATTAAAATGATTCTTTATTGTGGAAAAAATTTTTAATTTTTGGATGCCATCAATATGTGAGTATCTCAATGTTCTCATGACAAAACTCTGACATGAGACTGTGCTGTAACCTGTCACATAACAAGCCAAATGAAGTCAAACATTTCAGATGTATGACAGCTGCTATCATTGGCTCTGCCCTACTTTACCGGTACATTACAGTTCCTTTTTTCGTGTCCATCCTAGAGCTCCTCTCTGACCTTCATGCTTATTTAGAGCAGCTGATTTTTAAAGTTAGAGTTCTTCCTTGGTAGTGGGTTCACTCACTCATTTAACCCTTCACCACTGAAATCAGTTTGTTCATTCCCATCTTCCTAAATAATCCTCCAATCATCCAACTAAAATCCTTAGGGGTCCAGTAACATCCATCCTGTCAGAACAGGCCTTGGGAGCCCAGGTGTTACTAGAACTAATGGTGTCTCCTCACCAGCGTGAGCTTCCGAACTGTGAAGGTTGGTCTCCAAACTTGAACTCTGAGCTTTAACTCACAGAGGCCTGCAGGTCTTCTGTTTTTTTGAACTTCATGCATTTATCTCCTCTTGTAACACTTCAACATGTTTTAAAAGGCTTGTATCATGATATGTTACGCCCCCCAGACCAAAGATAGGTCCAATATATGATAAAATATTATCATAGACACTGCAGAGACGTCATTTATGAAATAGAAGTTATTTTTGTGCACCATTACTTTAACCAAGATATAAGATGCATGGATTTGAGGAAACCACGCTGTCTCATATATGTGTAACACACACACACACACACACACACACACACACTGCAGCATGTTAGAATCATTTGAATGACTAACTATATTGAACTGTTTTAGTAATAATTTAATCTCTTATTCTGGAGTAAAATAAAGAAACTGGCTAAATCATCACAAATCTGTGGCATCAAGAAGCAACTTCTGAGTTCAAACACAGGGATGGAGCACAATGTTTACACCTGAAACAGTATCAGGATGCTTTAACTCACAGAGGCATGCAGGTCTTCTGTTTTTTGAGCAAAGCGCTGAGAATCCGCTTATTATGAGCATTAAACGTTATTTTGCCGCTTCCGTGCGGAGCGGTAGGGAAACACATTTTAATCACGGAACCGAGTCCGGCTACTGAACCGAGCAGAATTCTGATGATGTCACACCGGTCCGCAAAGGTGCAGGTTCCAACCCATGAGAGGAAGGAGAGAGAAGGTGAACAGCGAGTGGATCACAGGGACTGAACTGATGTTTTTGAGCAAAAGTGTACACCCACACCCCCCACGGTTTAGAGGCTGCGCTCATGCAAGTGTCTCTTTCCGTTCCAACGCTGCTACACATAGTATTTTTAATTTATTATGCCTGTCATTTATTTTTACTCAGTAACGGATATGATTTAAAATGTAGTGAATTACAATTCTTTCTCAAGTAAAAGTAAAAGTACAGCTTTTACAAACGACTTAAAATGTATAAATATACAAAAAAGCTACTCAATTACACTAACGTGAGTAAATGTAATTTGTTACTTTCCACCTCTGATCATTGATGAGTTTTATTTCACCATTCATACAAAACACACAAAAATGCAACATGTTAAAAATAAAACTAGTTAGCCCACATTACAGAAGGAAGTGTGATAAGTCTTTGCATTTTTATTTATCATCGGAAGCTCCTAACCATGCATGGGGGTTTTGTCCTTAACTGCCAGCCATTTCCTGATCAGTAACAGCCTTCGCTGCCAGCGTTTTTCAGCGTTTTCACTGTTTTTTTAAGAGTCACAGAACGTTGCGCACCAGGAGGATGTCAGCACCCTAAGACTGCCACTGTCTAGGATGAAACATCCAAGATCCATAAGTACATCAAAGATAAGGCCCCAACAGATGACGCGCTCAGTGAATGTCTCGGACAATGGTGAATAGAGGATGAGATTCTGGAAATACAATCATGGGAGGACAAACCCCTACATGGGATGTACCACTGACAGTACAATGAAGTAGCTAATATCAAGAAATCCTACGGCTAGCTGGTCTGAAGGACAGCATAGAAGCACAGGCCTCTGATAGAGGACCCGAGCTTGGAAGGATGAGACCACCCATGGAGGGTGAGATGGGAACTTTTATAAAAATCACTGCAAAAGCAAAGCAGATGGCATGAAAACCCTCGGTCAGCTGTTGAGGAACTGTATTATGCATGTATCATATGATGAGCAAGACAATCATATTTGAGTGCTCAAGTACATCTGGTTGTACCAGCACTTTATGCTTTTATTCAGTTTGATGTTTTTGGTGGTTGTGCTGCTGGATCGTTGTTCTGTTGCATAACCCACTGTGGGCCAAGCTTCGGATGTTAGACAGATGGCCGCATGTTTGACTCCAGAATACTTTGGTATACTATTTAATGATGCAAGCTGCCCACATTCTGTGGCAGCTTAAATCATCACGCACCCTTAGATCAGCAAACTGCACAAACATTGGTCTTTACATATGATTGGTTAATAGCTACATTTTATTGGCAACTTCGAACAGCAGTTGAGTAAGTCCTAGAGATACAGCTTCAAAACTCTGACTTGCATAACACTTTTACTTTGTGATTTCTTCATCTTGGTTTCCAAATGTTCTTAATTCATTTGTTTTCTTTGTGGTGTCTCCTGCATCAGTGTCCTCTAACATGGCAGAATAAATGGGAAGGACCCGAGGAGCCGATGCAGTACCTCAGAGCTGTAGTAACACGATCTCTAGCCATACAGGTAACACACTGTCCTGTTTTTATTCATGCCTGTGTGTTCTTCTGTATCTACAGCAACGACATATATACTGGACAAATAATGTCCCTAGGCTTGAATTATGAGTTTTTGACATAAAATCGGAGGTTCCCATCACTGCCATTTTGACCATGTCACACATCTGATCACGCCCAGACAATCCAAAAATGGGAAAAGAGGTGGAGTGAGGGTGGGGCTTTTACAGTTGGAACCAATTAACCAAATGTAGCTACTAGCTAACTTAGCTACCCAAGAAGCAGCTGTTCCCGGCCGAGAGAAGGAGAAGCCAGGTACCCACCTCACTCTGCTAGGATGAAGCGGCAGATTCACGTATCTCTGATTGCAGGACTGCCACTGTTAGAGGTGGGGGCATGTTACTGAAACTTGGCAAACGTCTCTGCAGCAGCGTTCTCGCAAATCTTTGACCATAGTGGACCAGCAAAGTCCCGAAGCCTTAGGAGTTTTGGTACCCAGTCAGCCAGCTCCGCCATTATGTTATATTTCAACCCATCTTTAACCAAGCAGTGTTATGTTAAATTCACAGCATTTTCCCCCATTCAACCAGCAAGATAAAGTACAGAAATATAATTGTACTTAATGATAACATTTAAGAAGGTAGATTGTAGAAGGTACAGTGTGTGATATTTTTACCTGTTTACTATCAAATCCTGTGTTTCCAGTTCACAAACTTGTCCTTTTTCACTAATATTTATCACCAACATCAATCCTAAATATTCCTCTCAACTTGAAAGTATGCATTTTTTATATACATAAACTGTGGTCGAGGCTCCATGGTCATCCACCATCTTAAAATACAGTAGCTGTTTAGGGACATACGAGCTCCACGTTACCGTTCGAACTATGACACAGGATCGTCGGCTAGCAGTGCCTACACCACGCTCAGGACAATCCAGACTCTTCTCATGCATCGTTCCACAAATGTAGAATGACCTACCAAGCACTACCAGAACTGGGGCTTCCTTTTCAATTTTCAAGAAACTCCTGAAGACCCTGCTCTTCAGAGAGCATCTTCTAAACTAGCACCCTCCCTGCACCCATCCCTTCCTCTACTGTCCACTCCTTGTTCCCTCCTCTCCATGATTGATGTCAAGTTGTTGTTGTTATTGTTGTTGTTAGCCTCAAGGGCAATATGCCGATTATCACTTGTAAGTCGCTTTGGACAAAAGCGTCTGCTAAATACATAAACATGACTGTAACCTGAAAGATCCAGCAGAGGGCAGCAGTGCGCCCTGGAAGCATGGAGTCTGATAATGCAACTAAGAAATTGAAAAGAATAGCTACATCGTTGCTGCACTTGTTAGTTTGAATAAAAAAACAATTAAATCAAAAGACACATAAAATTTGTCCGTTCCTCATCATGTTCAACACAAGGAAGCTGCATATGTTCAGACCCCTGCCCGCTATTATCTGGACGCCAGTCTCCGATTAGTGTCTCTGACTCTCAAACTCACCTCAAGTTGTTCATCCATCTTTTCCTAGTACCAGAACTCCCGATCTGGTCCCAATGTGTCCGTTCCAAAGTCCTTCTACTCAAGTATCCCCTCTCTCTGCAGCCTGCCATCTTGCCCAACACGCTCCTGTGCTAGCCAGTGGCTAATCAGCGTTGTTTACTTTATCTCCACAGCACTTTACTAATGGCGAAGTAGTTCTCCACGCGTTACTGAGACGCTCCGACTCAGAGGGCTTCTTCTCAAACGTTACCTTTAGACTTGGGTCTCCTTTTGCTGGTAATCTGTGGGAGTTTATGCACAGCGTCTCCCTGGCTCTAGCCATGGCTAACTAGTAGCTCAGTAGCTCTTGACACCCATCTCCACCACACCAGCCGTGAGCCACGATTAGCTGGTGGATAAGTCAGCATTGTTTACTTGATTTCCAGTAGGGCTGCAACAACGAATCGATAAATTCGATGAAAATCGATTACTAAAAGCGTTGGCAACGAATTGCGTCATCGATTCGTTGTGTCGCACAACTCTTCCAAAAGCGCCCCCCCCCCCTCCTTCCCGAATCCCGCCCGCCGTTGCGCGCAGACCAGAGCAAGTCAGATCAGCGCGAGGGAGAGCCGCAGATCAGCGCGAGGGAGAGCCGCAGATCAGCGCGAGTGAGAGCCGGCAGATCAGCGCGAGGGAGAGCAGCAGATCAGCGCGAGGGAGAGCCGCAGATCAGCGCGAGGGAGAGCCGGCAGATCAGCGCGAGGGAGAGCCGCAGATCAGCGCGAGGGAGAGCCGGCAGACTTGCGCTGCTGCGAACCGGTTCCGCATTGTTGCACAGCGATCCAGGCAGCTGCTTCCAGCGCACGGTCCATTCTCAAAGTGGCGCAACCAAAAAACTATAATTAGCACACGATCGTTCAAGTCCGCACATGTTCTCTACTTTCTGTCTTATTTGTGCCTGAAGCTCGCTACTGCGGAGCTCATCACCTGTGCTGTGGTGATGTCACCTCACGCAGCATCGAAAACGCGCTCTGCGCTTTTCGGTCAGGAGATCCCTTTGATCTGCTCAAAAGTAACTGATGAGGTGAAAAGGTAAGAATCCAGGCAACAGATTTTCTGGAGAATTAAGAGGAGATGCAGGAAGATGAGAGACAGACAGGACAGGAAAATAGTTCAATAAAAACAAAAAAACAATCAATCAATCAATCAATCAATCAAAGCTTTATTTATAAAGCGCCTTCCGCAACCCTGTCAGGAAGCCCAAAGCGCTGAAAGTGAAACAAAGCGCTGAAAACAAAGTGTTGAAAAGTAAAATGTAGGTAGATTTATCTCCACTACACGTTTTTACCTATAAAAAACAATAAGTTATACACATGTCATATTTATACATCTGATACAATTCAGATCACCTTCAAAACTCAGTCACACACCCAGGGCCGTTTCAAGACATTTTGGGGGCCAAGGCAAAATGCCCCCCCCCCCCCCCCCCCCCCAATAACTGGGCTCCCCAGAAGCCTCTGTGTAATTCATGCCCTCTCCAGTAGTGTTAGTTATATGGTGTTTATAAAAGCCCCTCAGACATTACTGACATGTTCTAATATTATCAGATGAAAAACTAAATTATCAGACATGCTGTCTCATCTGCTTCTTTTATAAACTTGCAAAAAGTAACAAAACCATTTGAAAGCCACTATTTGTGGATTCTCTGAAAGTTTCCAGTGTGTGACTAGTTATTTTTTCATTGATCCTATCGTCTAATCTCACAGCTGAAACAAGCATCCTTAATAATCTGTGCACAGGAAGCGTACCGATGCTGTAGTAAAACAAAAGGTATAATAATTTATTATTAATAAAACCTTGTTGCAGCACTAAAGCAGAAAAATTGGATTTTGCATTAAATATGCTAAATATTTATATATGAAATGTTTTAGAGCCCTTTAATTGGCAGAATCTGATATTAATTTAGTTCTTACAAAAAATGGGTCCCAACATGGTTTGTGTGGCGTTGCCATAGTGTGACGTCATAGGCACAGATCCCCTGTCCTCTTGTTTGGAAATGGAAATATGGTCACCCTACATTAAACAAACTGTCCACCCGGGCTTTTGCACTGCACAGAGAAGCTTCGCTGCCTACGACTGAACGTCAGTTGAGAGTCAGTCTCATGCAGAATGACCAATGAAGAGAGGGCCTCAAGTTAAGACCCTCTCCTCATTGGTCAGTCCACACGAGGTGGGTCAAAGGTTACTCTGGGCGGGTTACGTGTTGTCAGGCATTCAAGTATTGAGTATATTTACTGCATATTACAGTAAAATATTCTGTATGTGACCACATTATGGTGATCCTTGGGTCGTGATGATGGAGCCCTTGAATATTGTTGCCCAGGGTACAACAAAGTGTTAATCTGGCCCTGGTTCCGCCGTCACATTCCCGCAGAAACTGGTTGATCACACCGGGGCCAGACTACTAGCGTGTGGTTTTACAACCACAATGTCCTCAGAAGCAAAAACGCTTTTAAAAGGGAGGGAGGAGTCCTAACTGTTGCTGCAGGCGTGTTGTGTGAGAGTGCAGTTATATACTGGTTAATATATTTTTGGGTTCAGTTGCTTTCATGTGGCCTAATGTGAGTCTATGTGGGATCATTGGAATGATCAGCAGCATTTCTTGATGTGACTTTATGGCAGTTGCCCAGGGCATCATCGCAAGGAGGATGGCATTCATTTACTTTTGTTTTATTTGGTATTTTTTCAGTCATTTTTGGAAATAGTGATCAATTTTGATTAATTCACAGCCTATGTTTAATTACATTTAAAATATATGTCAACAGATGAGATCAAACAAAACAGATGAGAATTGCCCTTAAGCTGTTTAACTTGGACCAAGCATTTTAGGTCACAGATAGATGTAGCTTAGGGTCTCTGTCTATACACCTTATAAGACAATTTAGGTGATGGCATGTTGTTTTTCTGCTATTGAACTGTTTTCTAATAATGTTGTGTTAAATAAAGTGAAGGAAGGAGAGAAATAACGTTTCCCTAGCAGTTTTTAAAAATTTCCCCATGTAATCCGATTAATCGTGTCGAGACCCCATCCGATTAATCGATTATCCAAATAATCGTTTGTTGCAGCCCTAATTTCCAGCATGTCCCCGGCTTACAAACCCTCCTTCACCAGCCGTGGTTAACGATCAGCTAGTGATCGCTCCATATCCATATAAGCTGGTAGCAGCAGCCAGTTTGTTTATATCGAGGCGCCGTGATCCATGTGAAACGGGTGTTGTGGGAAATTATGTTCCCCTGAAATATTCTGTTTCCTTTAGGCAGTCAAGAGCAAATATTACCCAATCCACAGAATTTATTGTCCATTATGAGAACTAAACTATCTCATATAAAAGGCGGTTAAACTGAGTCAGATTACATCTTTCTACATAATTTTCAAAAATGATAAATAAGCTTGCTGCAAAAGAGTGAACACGAATGTTTTACTGCATATTTTTTTTATTGTTTTTAGGAGGAACTACAAATAAAAAATCACAAGCATAACATTATTACATTACATTGCATCATTTTCCCATAACAGTTTGTCACAAATGTTGTGAAAATAGCCAGAAGTGTAATCTCCCAACATGGGGGGACAGAATATTTCAGGGGAACACAATTTCTCACAACTCCTGACCTCCCGGCTGACGTCGCCCCTCCTCCGTGTGTGAATCATGACAGCTTCAAGAACAGAACTAGCTTGCTTCCTTCAGAACTGGTAGGTTGATAAACAGTCATAATTATAAATGATTTTTTAGAAAGTCGAGTAGCTTGTTTTAAGCTTTGTGTGGGTTAGGGTACAGGTTGGAAACTGATTATACAATTAAACTCATAAGTGAGCTGCAATACTTTCTCTGAACTGTATGGCGCTAAAGAGTCACATTTTTTATCATGATTTCAATGGATTTCACACACACGGGGCCTTTAAAGATGTGACTTACAAGGTGATGATGTCATGATGACCTCAGAAGAGTTCTGCCATTGTTTTCTGGATCATTTCTAGGTTGGTGCCAGAAAATAAGAGTTCTAGAGGAAACTCCTCAACCCTGTCTGACTGCACGCCTACCTCAATATGTTCTGGCAGTCTACAACACACACACACACACACACACACACACACACACAGAGAGAGACCGTCAGAAATAATTCATTTCTGTGTGGATGTGTTACTATTATATGAGTGGACGTGAGAGTGGAAACTGTAGTGCCTCAGTCTTTCTCTCGGCTAGCCTGCCTGCCCATCTGTTTGCATGTCTGATACTTCTCTCTCTCTTTAATTTTTTCCCTCTATCCCAGTCTCCCTGACTACCTACACTCTATTTGTCTTCATGTGAGTCTGTCTAGAGGCCACCGTGCCCTTCACTGTCTCCTCCCGCTCATCAGTGCTGAGTGATAACTGTGTTAGCCGCCTGCCTGTATTCTGTTAGCTAATCAGTCTAATGAAGGTGGAGTCGTGCAGAGCTGCTGCTGACAAATGGGGATCAAGCTGCACAGGGCTGTATCCAAATGCAGTGGGCAGCCTTCACCATTGTTACACTCCCACATCCGTTCAATGAGGCTCATTGTTAGAAATCCCTAAAAGTGATGGTCTTACCCTGTTCTGTGATGTAACGTAGGCTATGCATCATTTTGTTTTGCAATTAGAATTGAGCGCTGCTCAGTAATTGCCAATAGTGTTAAATCAAAGCTGGTTGATTCATTGAATTTTAATCACAATTATGATCTGAGTTTTGAACGATTATAAAAACAAAATAAGGTGATTATTTGCTCCTCCCTCAGTTTATTTTCACGCTGCTCAGAGTAGTAAATTGAGTGTGCCCCCCACACAGTGTTGCCAATTTATCCCCTTGGTCGTGATTTCAGAACCCCTTCATGATTTTTTCCAAAAGTTTTTAGCGAACAACCTAGCAACAGTTCTGATGACCTTTAGCTATGTTCTGTAGAGCTTTGTAGTCGATGTAATACCAGTTCATCTTTCGGAGCTACACGTTGTGCCACACTTCTGTACACACTCCCCCACAGCACAGCTGGACAGGACCACATGATTATTAGCAGGTTTTGGAAGTTCACTACAGCATAGATGTTTATATATTTCTCTTCATTTTTATATTGCAAATGTTTGCACTCTTTTGTTATCAGTATTTGGAATATTTTTGTCATCAACGTCAATTAAAGATTGTGTTAAATAATCGAGATCTCAATTTCAATCAACCTAATCGGGATTATCATTTCTGCCATAATGGTGACGCCCTAGCGTTAGACGTCCGCTAACTTACAGAGCACGGACACGTGTTTGTGCATGTACCTAAACCAATGTAGAATTGGTGACATTTCTTATATACAAGTCATCTGGTCAAATGGTAAATGGCCTGTATTTGTAAAGTGCCTTGTTAGGGTTCTACAACCCCCCAAGGTGCTTTACAACACAATCAGTCATTCACCCATTCACACACACACATCCACTCACTGTTGGGGATGAGCTACAATGTAGCAACAGCTGCACTGGGGCACACTGCTGGAGGTCTGTCTGGTGCCACCGCTCCCTCCAACCACCACCAGCAGATAAGGTGGTTTGGGTGTCTTGCCCAAGGACACAACAGCAGCATTCTCTGGCTGGAGTGGGGATCCAACCTACGACTTTCCGATTACTGGCCAACCCGCTCTACCTTCTGAGCTACTGCTGGCAGGTGAAGGCCGGAGACCAGTAGACCGGGTCAGGTCAGTCAGGGGACTGGTCAGGGTTGCAAAGGTTGGTATGAACCGGCCTACCATACCACACCACACCATACCATACCATATTATACCTTAACATACCATAACATACCATACCATGTCATTTTATTTATAGCACATTTAAACACAGCATATGAGCTGACCAAATTACTGCACAGTCAATCATAAAAAGATCATCTAAAACAGCCTAAAAACAAAATAAAAGAAGGGGAAATAATGAAACCCTGCCAGTCACAAGAACCGCCTGGCCTCTTTTTGTGATTGGCAAGCCACAATCACTGCAGTCTTGTCCATGTGGGGCCGCCCCTGCCACCCCCTAGAACAGGGGTGGGCAATCCTGATCCTCGAGGGCCGATATCCAGCATGTTTTAGTTGCTTTCCTGCTCCAACACACATTCCTGGATGAATCACCTGTTCAGAAGCTAATTAGGCTCTGCGGCAGCCAGTTAATCATTATTAGACTCAAACCAGGTGTGCTTAAGCAGAGAAACAACTAAAACCTGTTGGATAGTGGCCCTCAAGGACCAGGGCTGCCATCCTTGCTGTAGAAGGTACCCCAGGTACTGCACCTCCTGCCGTCCGACCATGCACTTTTTAGGTTTGGCAGTCCACCCAGCCTGCCTCAGCGCCTCCAGTACGAGCACAACCTGCTGACAAAAACTTGAGATTCTTCTTTAAGAACGTAGCACTTTTGCTTCATCGTGCATGCCTGTTTGAATCCGAAATCAAGCTTCACTTCATGTTTATTTCTTTTCATGTATTCTCTGTTGATGTTATCACTAAAGTCAATGTTATGCTAAATAAAAGAATCTCTTTATGATGGAGATTGGATCCGAATTTTTTTTTCATTCTGCTTTTGTCAGCATTTTCTTTCAGCGGAGCTACAAATCAAATACATCTGTGGCGATTTAGAGCTGATGAGCTGCTCAAAAGAAAGGGAGAGATGCAAAAAGGCACCCAGAATAGATCCAGACCTTAATCCTATGCTGACTATCACAGCTTAAAATCTTACTGCCACCACTGCTGCTGCTGCCATCAGAGCTTAAATCAAAAATAAGTTCTGCGACATGGCCCCAAAACCATAAAGGGAAGCCTGAGAAATAAGAACAGATACCTGCTGTTGACAAAGCTGCACGGGTTTTCTTCCTGCAGTGACACGGAAGGAAACTGCTTATCTAATCACAGCAGATGTCAGATCTGATGACCTACATCATCATAATGCAGAGGGCTCACCGCGGTCTATCTCTAGCCAAATTCACACACACCAAAACACTCCAGTACACTTAGCTAGTGTTTGTCATCTTTTATGTGTTGGATCAAATCATTTTCTTTTGACTTTATGTGTAAACACACTTTAATAGGATGCTGCATGATTATGTGCTTGTATTGTGTTTTTGTCTGCAGGTAATTGGGGTTGTGTTATCATCAGCTTGTAGATTCGGCGATAAAACGCCAAGGACGCATTAAATAGCTTTTTAACCGACACACGCTTTTAATATTTTTTCCCATTTTCAAACTAACTCGCAGACGAGTCACAGATATTAAGGTTATTGTGAAAATTTGAGACGCTGCTTAAAACATAACGATAAAGATGATATGTTTTTGTGTTCTGTGTTTAAAATCTCTGATGAAAAATGGGCGTTATTCCTTATTTACATCCTAATCTTTGACTTGTGTTTACAGAGTTGGGTTGAGCGTGCGAGTAGACAAGCTCTTCTTTCAGACCTCCTTGATTTATCGGAACTTTTCCACCCAGATACCTTCCTTAACGCTTTGAGACAAGAAACTGCCAGGTAACGATGAAGTGTGAGCTCATTTGAGACGATATAGGAAGTAATAAGATTTTTCTTTTTTTTGCCAGGTCTATGGGTTGTTCGATGGATAGTTTGGTGTTTGTCTCCTCATGGAAGACTTTGATTGCCCAAGCCAAGCTACAAGTCAAGGTGGAATCACAGCAGATGTACATTAAGCTGCACATCATGCATGCAAACAGCAACACACTCCCATCCAGCTGCAGGAAACTGCTGCTGTAAACAAAGCAGGCAATAGCGGAGTGATAATTGGAGAATGATTTGTGGAAAAGAGCAAGGGGAGATTACAGATGCAGATAAGGAGAGTGGAGCTTAAAGACAGAAGAATGCAGATTTTAACCAAAACAAAGACTCATTTGCATATTGGTTAAAGACATGTCTTTTGTCTTTCTGTCTTCCTCTGAGTGATTTTTAAGATTAAAGATCTGGAATCATCCAGACGGTAAAGATCCAACACCATCTCTCTTTCATGCTCTGACCTATGGCTAATAGAACTGGATTGTCTTTATTTTAATAATTTAAGGCAACAGTTTTACTTCTAGTTATGCCAATAAAACCTTGGCACAAATTTACATTCACTCAGTTAAATAGACACAGACAAAAAGGGAAGGGTGTGGGCGCTCAGAACAAGGCTGCAGCTGCAGGGAGGGAAAGGAATCAGGCATCAGACAGAAAGGATAATTATTGTGATGTAAAGCACACACTCTCTCTCACACACACACACACACACACCGCACACACAATAGGACCGTTTCTAGATTCATCTCACACTCATTCTCTGGCCTATTCTTGCCCTGATTATATTGATTTAGGAGTTGTCTGACTTGGTGCCAGAGTTCCTTTTATTGTCTGGCCTGTTGTGGAAAATCCCCGGGTCAGTGGACCAAACTCACACAATATACTTATAATATGGTTAAGACAGTGTAGTCACCTTTAAACCACGTGCAGCTCGATCGATATTGACCATTAAGAAGCCATTTATTTTTAATGTTTTCACATATTTCAGTGTTTTTAGAACAATACATTAAACCATACCTCCAGTCTCCTGCTTTTAAAAAGCTATTTTAGTAAGAAAGTAAATTTAATTCATATATTTTTATATTTTTGTCTTTGTTAACTTTGTAGGTTGGAGGTCTTCAGCTGGAGGGTTGTCGGTTTGACGGTGTTCATCTCAGTGAGAACCAACACGACTCTCCCACCGTCTCAGCTGTCCCACCGTGCTGCATGGCTTGGGTTCCTCAGGTACATCTATTTGTTATATGTCTGTGTTCTAAACAGAGCAAGTTCTGCAATAAAGGGGTGGTTCTGTGGAAAGGTTATTGGCAATGTCTTACAGTTACAGGTGAAATGCAAAAAATGTGAATATGGTGCAAAAGTTAATTTATTTCAGTTATTCAACTTAAAAGGTGAAACTAATATGTGAGATAGACTCATTACAAGCTCCAAGCCTTTATTTGTTATAAATGTGATGATTATGGCTAACATCTTATAAAAAAAAAACAAATTCAAAATCTCAGACAATTAGAATATTGCATAAAATCAATAAAACAAGGATTTTAATCAGAGGAATGTCAGAGCTCTGAAAAAGTATAACCATCAGTGGCAGCTCATCCATAGGGAGCACTGGGGCGCCGCCCTAGCAGTCTCACAGGAAAAGAAAGAAGATGGGAATCACAAAATATAAAAAACACATCATATATACATCATACATACTTTAAGTGCTGTGTATAACACTTTTACCACGCTATACCTGGAGCATGTGCTCTGGATCTCCCTCCAATACAAAGAATAGGAGAGCCTTGGGCACAAAGGTTTGCGATCGAAGCATGTGCAGAAAATCGGAGTCTCAGATCAGGATGTTCACCCGGACTTCTGAGCCAATAGAACTGCTTGTTGAGTTGTTTTGGCTGGCATTTGTATTAACCAATCACAGAAAGAGAAACACATTAACCGGAAAATGATGGGATTTGTAAACACTCTCCTGCAGGTAAAAAAAGGGCCAAAACAGTCCAGAATCAGCTCAGTGTGACGTTGGCACATTGTATTACAAGAAACGAGTGTTTTTTTTTACTATAATGTTTTTTTTACTATAATGTGGATTATTATGACCGTAAACCAGCAAAAGTAAGACTGAATTTATGCTTTTGACTTCATGAAACGAGTTGTTTTGCTGCTGCATTTTTCCGTGAGTTTTGCAGGTAGAGTATTGATACTTATATTGTTGTAAAAGAGACTCTGGGCTTTAATTGATAGGATCATATAGCATTGTTGCTACTTTGTGTTTTTCTCTATGTGTATTTAGCGTCTTTTTACATCCTTTTCAAGTTAGCAGCTTACTGTCATTGGGTGTTGTTGAGGTAGAAGACATGGATTCTGTTGTTTAGATGAGCCTCTTCTCATTAAGTACGAATACAGTTAGAATTTGTTGGTGAATATATCGGTCGGCCTCTAGCTAGCAGCCACTCTAAGAAAAGAATTGTTGAGTAAACTTAACCAAGTTATGTGAACTGGGTCAACTAACCCTAGTTTCTGAGATGTAAAGACACATTGTTATGTTAAAAGTAAATGTAAATTACTCTTTACATTTAAACAAATTACATAATTAGGTCAAGTAAATTCAACATTTCCTTTTTAGAGTGTAGTTTCAGTGAGGCTTGTTACAAAAACATTTCTAAACTTTAAAAATTGTAATATTTAATGCAAATCATATTTTATAACTTTTACATTGTCATGAATTTCACATTTTAGGGTTTTTCCAGCTAAATTCTAGCCTAGAGTGTTAAAGTAGCTAATAATAATATATAATGTAGTAATATATCCACTGCAAATAACTGTATAACATAATGCTAAACAACATGTAATGTGAACGTCATTGTTATATAAAAGCTTACAAAATTAACTATTGTATGAATTGCTATTTTTGAGATGTAGTCAACGTGTCTGTAATGTATGATAGCAGGACTTCTGATGTGTTTTACAATGAACACAAAGATGGAACTTGTGCTGATGAAAAACAGTAATTCATATGTCCACTCCCGGTCCTGTGTTAAAGAGTTCAAATGTCTTTCTGGTGCAACTCAAAACTCTACAAATAAACTCAATCATGTATGCCAAAAGGCCGACATCATGACAAAAGAAAAAGTCAAAAACCTTCAAGGACAAGAATTTACATCTAAATGCAAAACTGGAAACGACATGTCAGCTTCACTCCGGCCAAATGTTTCCAACATGTTCAGTGTGAACCCAGCGCTGCTCAGTGCAGATGTCTGATGATGATGATGATGATGATGATGATGATGATGATGATGTCACCTTTGTTAGAAGAAGATAAGACTTTCTCTGTCCTCCAGAACTTCAGTCATCCTGCAGAGATGTGAGCAGCAGCATACTGTAATCCCAGCTCTGGGATCAGTTAGCAAACCCTTAAAGCTCTGCTGCTTGGACTCAGCTGAAGACACAAAACATGCTGAAATGTATGAACGTGTGTGTGTGTGTGTGTGTGTGTGTGTGTGTGTGTGTGTGTGTGTGTGTAAATACATGTAATAAACCACGTTTATCTGTCGTCCCAGGCGTCTGCTGCTGGATCAGAGGGGAGCATCTTGCTGCCGTTGTACTCCAGCTCTGAGAGGGTGAAGGTGGTCACCCACATCTCCCTGCCCTGTGGAGCTAACTCCAACCAGTGGATCCAGACTGGAGCTGCCCTCTTTCTCAAACAGCAGTGAAAGGATGTGGTTTTGGTGCAGCAGAGACTACAGAAGAAACTTTAATTACAGAAAAGCCAGAGACTTTAGTAGATACACAGTACAAACTAGTTTCATTACATAAGTTCGTTAGGGATGCCAGTGCCTTAACTTTTAGAGCAGAAACTAAAAAATGTAGTGATCTATATACATCAGGGTCATTTGCATAATGCGATTCAAGGAAAAGAGCCAAAAGAGGAAGAGGATTTGAATAAATACACAAATAAAAACGTGTTCCTCTTTTTGTTTGGCGTAATAGATCGGCCGGCAAACTGGAACAGCCTCTTTAATAAATGATGAGTGTAGTATTATTCAGTTTGGAGGCTGAATAAAATCTTTACAGGTTTTAACATTCTGCTCATCCCATAAACCTCCACATGAATTGTGTTTCATAGAAACTGTGTAAAAATGCGTTTTATTTACTGAAGAACGTTAAAACTGCCCTGATGTCACGCTGTTTTAAAGTGAAGTTTAAGTTTAAGTGTTTGCTGTGCAGCAAGTCTGCTGTTTATTTATTCACTCTTCTGTTTCCTACGTGTTCAAAATAAGCATTAAATTATTTTGTCTACTAGTTTTTATTGGTAGTGTTAATTTCAAAAGGTTCTTCCATTTAGTTAACTCAAACTTCAGTACAGTGTGTGTGTGTGTGCGCGCGCATGCATGCACGTGCGTATGTGTTTGATTTGAAGTCATCCTTCGTGCCTGACCATCAGTGTTCAGAATCTTTCAACGGTAAACTATACAGATCTGCTCGAAAAGCAAGCAGATGGTGATACACACACACACACACACACACGCCGGTCCCTAACCTCTGTATGATTGGTTCGAGTTGAGGTTCAGTGGAGTCAGTGAAGCTGTGATGGATGGCCACAGAGCAACATAATTTGTGTGTGAGTGTGTGTGCGCATTTGATTGATGGATTAATTAAGTCCTCTTCTTTCTGTACCGGCACACTGTTTCGGCTGTGTTAATGCAGTTGTACAAATGTTTGTAAATTTGATTGTGTGTGGGTGTGTGTGTTTGACTGAGTGTGTCAGTGGAGACTGAGAAAAGAGCAGAAATGAGGGAGGAGCAGGCATTGTGCGTGCACTGCAGTGTGACAAAATGGGAGCGAAATGGAACAGCAGGTTTAAAAAAGTGAGAGGATTGGATCTGTGTGAAACGGGGCCCTCTGGGTGAGATGGGTGAGACAGGGTTGGAGGCAGAAAGAGAATCGGATGATGTAGGAAACGGGGAAAAAGTGATAAAAGACCACAAAATCACAGTGAAAATATTGTAGAGAAAAAGAAAAATAAGGGCGTTTCAGTTGACAGGATTTGGGAGGAGGAGACGGGTTAAAGGTAAAGATGAACTGTAGGGGTGAGGACGAGTGATTTATGGAGGAAAGGAAAGGATAGTCATTTTTATTCTAGGGATACTGCAGTGAAAATTCACTTGTATGGACTACATGAATGCTAATGTAAAAAAATAGTTTGCTATGAAGGACACGGAAATATTATTTTTGCCACTCATTATATTTATTTCAGTGCTTCCAATCATCACATTTCAAAAAAAATATTTTTCAAATGTTTGAGTGGAATTGACAATTGTCCATTTACAAGGTATGTTTGCAATAGGCTAGCGTTCATCTCAGGTAAATAACAGAGGAACACCTAAAATCCTTTTCAGTCACAAACTGTAATGTGTCGTTCACACACACTTTTACACATTTATTACACTGAGCTGTAAAAAGTACAGGTCACATGTTGAACCCTAAAATCCCACAATAAGAAAATTCAGTTTTAGTCTAAACCTTGGTTTAATCTGAGATTCAGATTTAACTTTCTAAGACTTTCCCACAAAAGTTTAGTTTTGAAAAGATTTTATGTCACTTTCTGAATTAGGACGGTGTCTGCTAACAAATCCACTGATGTGTGGATAAATGTTCGTCCACGAGACTGATCTTACTTTTCCCTGCTCAAATATTAAAATGCTCAAAAGAAAAACCACTAGATTCATTGTAATTTTCATTTTCTTGGGCGCTTTTTTTTTACACTCCCTCAATCCTTCTTGAACTTTCTCTGCTCATTCTGCTATGACATCCATCATTTATTGTGTTCAAGAGTTTTTGTTTTATTTAGGCAACATTACAATCCTAATCCAAACCGATAATGGCTCGTGGATGTAAGACATAAATATTTCCCTTTTTTTTTGCCAGACATCTAAATTCATCCTTTAGATCTAATAAATAATAAAAATGGACATAAACAAAAAAGAACCAGATCTTTTAGTTTGTTTTTCTACTCTGTAGAACGGTAATCAGTCCTCCTGAGATAGAAGTCCAGCTCATGCACTCGCTTTCATTTTTCATGAAATTTGTGTGGAATTTGATCTTTTTAATCCCAACAAACCAACTGATCCAGGTTTGGAGCCAAGCTTTGAACATGTCTAGCCTCCTTTAAGTTAGAGGATCCACAGATGAGCCAACTGCGTGAAACATCAAAGTGCTGCTGACTTCCCTCACACACAATTTCCACTCAGAGCATCGTAGCATTTGTCAAAATTAGTTTAAACGTATTTGAGTGACTTTTGACTTTTCCATTTCACACCATCTGCGCTGTCGGAGTCCAGGGCTGGAGACCTGTCCCTGGGGCACGGGGCGATGACACCTCTGGTCTATCTCACTGCCTTCATCATCTTCACTGTGCACACCGTGTGATCCACACATCTCACTGAGCAGCTTCAAATGTAAATGCTCTGGATTACAGGAGAAGCCGCTGTGTGTCCCATATCAGATGGTTTCAGGAATGGGAAGTGACAAAGCTAAGTCTGCAGGAATGATGGGTAAATCCTATGCAGGATAGCAGAGCGAAGAAGAAACCTCACTGGTGCAAGAGGACATGACTGGTGTTAGCATTTAGCAAGTAGCACACGTGACATATTTTTAAAGACCCACTCCAATCATCTTTTTAGTGGTCTTTAACCCTCCCACTGTCCTAATGGGTGTGACCCCGCAAGGAAAGTTGACCATTGAGCAGGGTTGATGGTTTATCCCTTGGGTCCATGTGGCAGGGGTGAGGAGTGAGCACCACCTCACCCCTGCCACATGGACCTCAAGGAATAAACCATCAACCCTGCTCAATGGTCAACTTTCCTCGTGGGGTCACCCATAAAGACAGTGGGAGGGTTAAACTATAATTATGCCCTTTTTAGCCAAAATCACAAGACCTGTGCCATTTTCTAGTATTTAGTTCAGGGGCGGAGCTATTGGTGACAGTTTGACAGAGTGCCCACCCACCAGGGGCAAGGCCAGGCAGATGTGGCCAAGCAAGCAACTGCTTAGCAACTCCAGTTATGTTGTAACAATTACAATATAAAATTATTACTTTAATGAATGTGCACTTTTTCACTGTGTAATAAAAATTGTTTAACTTTTTTATCTGGTATTAATTTTAATCATATTATGAATATGTTTTCCAGTTTGCTTGTTGGAGTTGTAATTTGGTCTTTTATATATATAAAAAAAGCAAATTGGCACCTGCTTACTGACTCTAAGCAACTATTAACCTACTGCAGAGAAAATATTCTGATGCCATCCCTGCCACCCAGTGAGGTTCATGATTAATTTTTTCCCAGAAGTGTCCTCCTGACCTGGACTTCTCACAACTGAACCGGGCATCTCCCGGAGTCAGCGGATGACATCCTTGATATTGTCAGCGGTGTAAACTGAGAAAGGACTGGGTGTGAGGGGGGGACAGATGCGCAGCACGCAGTGGACACGCAAGAACCTTATCTGATGCTTTTCCTCGTACTTACGTTAATCCGGTAAAGGAAACAAATTGTATCTCGTTGGGTCTGCTTTAGTCCTCTAAGGCCATTTTATTTGGTTCTGTTCATTTTATTGTTGTTATCTGGACCGGGGGTTCGGGTGGAAGATCCCAGAGGTGATGAGTCGTCCCAAATCGTGTTGGCGCGTCGCTGTCCGTGGTCCTGAATGAGACAGAGCCCTTGAGAACTGGTGAGGAGAGGGGGTGTGGTCGGAGGTGTATGCTGCTTAGTCAAGGTGTGTGTGTGTGTGTGTGCGCGCACGCTTGGATCGTGCTTGCTGATTATTCCCTGGTGGAGGGTGCGGTTGCTGAGAATCATCTGATCTGATCTCTGGTTTTGCACCACCTCCTGCTGCATATTGAGCTATCTGGAGCTGAGCATGAAGAACAGTCAAAAATCCAGATTTTTGAATCATGCGGTCTATTGGATCTTCAGCTCTTAGCTGATAGCCTGCAGCTAGGACGCTGAGACGAGCACGGCAGCATGCCTGGCTGAGATTAAAACCTGTCCAAGGTCCTGGGAGTCCAGCATCAGTAACAGTCCTTAAAATTTAAATTTAACAGAGATCCATGGAATAAGTATATAATATATAATCTTCTATCATAGGATTTTTTTGTGGCTTGAGATATTTTATTAAAACAGGTAATTTTGATGTGCACGCGCATGGCACACATCTCATATGAGCTTTGAAATTAATTAGGCCCATCCAGATTTTTCGAGGCCCACCAAGCCCCCACAATGCGGTTGAAAAATTGAGTCCAACCCGCCAGTACCAAAAATTGCAGTTCCACCCACATCCGCTGGGGGCTGGTGTCAGAAGCGAGCAAATCCTCATTGACTCACATGTTAAAAATGCCAATTTCACAGCAGAAATAAACATGTTTACAGCCTGGTTCCAAAACATGTTTTTTGTTTAAATTATCTAGTTTACACTCATGACAACTCTGAGGGGGGTGAATTTTTTCCCTACTCTTCTGTTTAAGTGTATTAAAAGCCTAAAATTCTGCATAATTAATGAGCATCAGACCTACGTGACTACAGAGCTAGCTCCGTGGAAAGGCCTCAGTAGAGCCTCGGTCTGGCTTGGAAACTGTTCCGGCATTTTGAGTCTCTGTGTTTGTGTATTTATTTTGGATATTTTCTGTGCAATTGTTGGACAAAATGACTTGATGTGGCATTAATTGCACTAACAGAGAGTCCAAGGAGTCTCCACTTCATTTTTTCGGTAAGTAAAATTATATTTATGTATTTTAGGTCACTGCCGAGCTGAGCTTAGATTTTAACATGTACTGTTTAACCATGAAATTTAGATGTAATAGGGTAAAACCCAGTGCATTTAACATAATGCTGCACTTTAGAAAATGGGCTGAAATATAACATGTTGGTGGAGATGGGTTCCGACTATCGGCTTGTGGAGCTCTCGGGAGACCGATGTTTTCCACCCGGTTCTCCCCGTAGCTCGGCGCATCTCTGTCTGATCGTGGCTTCTGTCTGCTACGCAGGCTGCTGGCTTGTGGAGCTCTGGGATGGAAACCTTTCCACCCGGTTCTCCCCAGCAGCAGCTCTGCGCATCTCAGATCGCAGTGGCGCTTGTCTGCTGTGCGGCTGCCGGCTTGTGGAGCTCTCAGGAGACCTCTGTGTTCCTCCCGGTTTTACCCAGCGGTCAGCCCGGCGTATCTGTGACTCAGAAGCTCTGGTGTTGCGCACAGTAAACTCCGGTTGTAGCTAGGTTGCTACCTCCATTAGCTTAGCTCCCACCTCCACGTT